TAGTCTATCGACACGAATCTATTGTAAAAATCTTGTCGGCATTAAATAACCCATTCAGATTGATATACCGAAAAACGAAACAAACCAAACCATATGCAGAGCCAAGGGGTTTATTTTCAATTTGCTCTAACAGAGGTCAATAGTGGAAAAATGACTTGTAACTATCAATACCCCTAAAACAAAACCTGGTAAACTCTTCATCATCACCAAGCAGCCAATGAATTATCACCTATCGTGAGGAATGATTGAGCTCTTAATAAGGATCCTAGCAATTTTTTATCATTTCACCCCAAGTAAGGAAATGAAGACACTATGATGCAGTGGCTACTGAGAATGGGACAATATGAGGAAAGAAAACCTTACAAAGAGAGAATAATAAAAGAACAGGAATTAAGAAGAAAGATGATATCAGTTGGCATTGCATTTAAATTTTTGAAGATCAAAGTTAACTGGAAAGCAAGAAGCCTGGAAGAGAGTTCCACAAGTGAGAAGTGCGATAGAAGAAACTGACAGCATAGAACTCACGGTTACATCTAAATATTTTAACTGTAAAATGACGAGACCTTTCCGCCAATCTAGTACTGCGTTTAAATTCATAAAGTCATGGAGGAAAATCTATTGGGCACCTCAACATGGTGTAATGGTTAACAAGCTCGTCTCGCTAGAACAATTAGGACTGAGTAGTGAGTAATGCCCCATACATTCGGCCTTGTGCCACATCTAAGTTACGTTTAGAAAATAACCGTAAAGGAACATTCTTCAGAAAAATTACCATAAAAGTATTTATAGAAAAGACACAGGAAGGTATATTAATGCAGGAAGAAAATGACTGAAGCCGAGATGCCAGGTCAGTGCTAATAACATTGCAAATTCTTCTTTGGAACTTAGGGTTACATCTAACCAATTCAAATGTTATTATTTGGAGTGCAAAGCAAGCAAGAAAGCCTGGAATGAGACTTCTACAAGTTCGAGAAAAAGAAACCTTTATCATAGAACTTACGGTTCCACCTAACCATTTCAATTTTAAAATGATGAGACCTAGCTTCCAATCCAGTACTGCGCTTAAATTCATAAATTCTAGGTACCAAAGAGGAAAGTTCATTAGAACAATTATCATGACACTCTTTATAGAAATGATACAGGGAAGCTACGTTACGGCGGTGGGAAAATGACTGAAGCCGAGATGCCAGGTCAGGACCAATAACATTGCAGATTCTTTGCATCTCAATATTCAATGCATGGGAGGATGGTAGACTTATGAATATGTAAGATAGATTCTGGAAGATTCATCAGCTGCATTTCTTTTTGACGCCTTCTGCCATGTTCTACCTTTTCAAGAGACAGATCGGACCAAAAAGAATTTGGAATTATATCCGGGATGTAGCCACCATGATTTGATTTGATTTTGGACTACCAGCCATACACAGCTGGTCGATCCGAAAAAGCGTTCAATTAGAATGGAGCAAAAACAGCATCATGTTTAGATGTAACAGTCTATCTTCTTCAATTACTTTAAAGTACTTTCATTAAAAAAACATTTTGAACTAATGCAGTTACTGATATAACAGGCGTAGTCTGTATTTATTCAATCGAAGTTAGCCGAGAACATGAAGGGGTAAAACAGGCAACATGAAACCCCACTTCAGACCACAATTATTTTAAAGTTTTTGAAATTCAATTTGTCAGTGTGCTAGCAGGGATTTAAAAGAGGATACATTTAAAAGCAATTTGTTTGATGAAAATTGGTTGAAAGATCAACGAAAAATAAGAAAGAAACCAATAAAAATCGCCGTTTTTCGCTATTTACGCGGGTTTTGACAATACGGGTGGGCTCAATTATCAAGTTAAATGATTGTTAAACAACCAACTTATTGTTGGCTACAATTGAGTGAAGTTTGTATTAGATTGTATGAAAATTGAGGAAGGTTTTAGTTTAAAATTTGTGTGGAAATCGATTTCTGTTGAAATCGATTTTTCGTTTTTCGCGGTTTTTCGCTAAACGCAGTGGCGTAGAAATAAAAATGAAATATCGTTGGGCCCATCATGATGTTAGTAACCTACATACCGAGTTTGAACAAAATCAGAGGAAAAAGTTGAATTTATCGATTTCTGATCAGGTTTATCGATTATTGATTTTTTTAAAATTATCAGCTTTTTACGCTAAGAACCTATCTCTTACAAGGTATAATGTATGTGTCAAGTTTGGTCAAAATCGGCTGGATGGATTTCGAGTGAAAATGCATCACACAGACATCTTCTGTTTTATACATAGAGATTATTATAATAAATCTATTTTTCATAAGTAGTGTCCAAAAATATATTTGGATGCCCTCCTTAATTTAGAAACGAATTACTTTGTTTTCATTCTTGATATGAATCGATTTTTCAATGAGATAATTTCAGTACGTCAAATACCGATCTCAAATTAGACTCCATGCTTTGAAAGTCTACTTGGACTCAAATATCGCTTTTGGTTGATTGCTGCGTCCACTTGGCTTAACTGGTGACAGTACTTGTTCGAATCGATCGTTTGCATCTCCTTATCAGCCTCACCATATATTGATGCATTTTTTTTTTTTATTAAATTCTTGCAGTTAACGCTTTTAAAGATTTTTCTTGGGCACAATACTTTTGCGGAAATATTACGCACTTTAGTAATGGAAGTAATTCACTTTCGGTTGGTTACTGCGTTGACATTGCTTAACTGGAAACAGTACTTGTTCGAATCGATCGTTTTGTTCTTCTTACCAATCTCACCATATATTGATGCATTTTTATTAGATTTTTACTGTTCCATCTTTTAAAGAACTTTCTTGTTGATAATCCTTTTTGACAAAAATGATGCTGGACTCTGTTCTGGATCTAGCTTCGAATTTGTTTTTGATATTGTATTAAATTAATTTTTCATAAAATGTGCCTAAAGGAAACTCGAATGCTCTCATTGATTTAAGCTTGACTTACTCTTTTTTTTATATTCTTGTTATGAATCGATTTCATTACCCGAGACCCTTGTGAACGAAATAGTTTTGAAAACCTCAAATACCAAACTTATCATTTCAAATGAGGCTCCAGGAAGTACCACACTGCTTCTATGCTTTATCTTCACAAGAATCTGAACAGTACAGAAATAGAAGTAATGATGCCAAGAGACAGAATAAAAATCTGCAGCAGAATACGCAAGTTTGTGCCGAAATTGCTTAGCGTAGAATGGGGAGGTGTCATGTGGTCGTGATGATTACTTGGGAGATCGTTTTTACTCAAATTCCAAGACATCGAAATCGACAAAGATCGTGACAAGCAGAGAGAGACTTGGCCTGAGAACTTGAACAATTGGGTAGAAGCTTCTCAATCCTCACTTTCTAGCCTTGACAGAGTTCAGAAGCAATTACGCGGCCTTGTGGCTCTTGAATTTTTTTTCTCACTCTACAACTTTCCCACAGTCGATTTTGAACTCAGTTCCGAATCTAGCTACGAATTCGTTTTTTTTTCGATGCTTTTAATAAATCCGTTTTTCATAAGTAGTGTCCCGAAATGTCTTTGAATGCTCTCCTTAATCTAGAAAGGAATTACTTTGTTTTCATTCTTGCTACGAATCGATTTTCCAATCAAATAATTTACCAAATACCAAGCTATTATTTCAAACGAAGCACCAAGCTTTGAAAGTCTACTGGGACTCAAATATAACTTTTGGTTGATTGCTGCGTCCACTTGGCTTAACTGAGGACAGTACTTGTTCGAATCGATCGTTTGCATCTCCTTACCAACTTCACCATATATTGATGTATTTTTATTAACTTCTTGCTGTTAACTCTTTTAAATTTATCTCTCTTTTGTGTAACGATGATGTTGAACTCAGTTCCGGATCTAGCTATGAATTTGTTTGTTTTCGATGCTTATAATAAATCTTTTTTTCATAAGTAGTGCCCAAAAATGTGTTTGAATGCTCTCTTTAATCTAGAAAGGAATTAATTTTTTTTCATTCTTGTTATGAATCGATTTTTCAGTCAAATAATTTCAGGACCTTAAATGCCAAAATACCAAGCTGTTATTACAAATGCTTTGAAAATCGACAGGGACTCAGATATCACTTTTAATTGCTGCGTCCACTTGGCTTAACTGGGGACAGTACTTGTTCGAATCGATCGTTTGCATCTCCTTATCGGCCTCACCATATATTGATGCATGTTTATTAAATTCTTGCTGTTAATCCTTTTAAATATTTTTCTTGGTCACAATACTTTAAAATCAAGCTATTATTTTTTTTTATCATCACCTTGTTTTCTCCCTTCACGATGAACGGTTGTATTCGTAATGACTCCATTTCTGATTGGCAATGCATCATTTTGATTGGTAATATTCCATTTTCGTTGTTACTATTTCATTTTGGTTGCTACTACTAAATTTTAATTGGTACTGTTCTACTTTGCTTGGTTCAGTTTTGATTTTGAAAGGGAAATAGTATAGATCATCTCAGCAGATATATTGTTTTGCTCGCTGTCTTCCCAAAGGTATGTAAGTCAATGGTCTCGCTGTGCCCGTCTCCTGTTGGCGGGAAGTCCAGAAAACTCGATCGAGACGGTCATGAATATAGGTGACGTAATGGCTCTGATAGTGCCCAAGCCAAAATCTCCATCTGCTTGATACGATTTTCGACGAGTGGGAATTTGAGTAAAAACGATCTCGCAATTAATCGGAACGACGACATGACACCTCCCCATTCTACGCTGAAGAATTTTGGCGCAAAACTGTGTATTCTGCTGCAGAATATTATTCTGTCTTATGCCTTTTGTGCAAAGAGGTTCGTTGTGCATTATTGCTTGAGGCAGTCGGTGCAATTGCACAACAGAGAACGGCGCAGAATATATACACTGGCATTCAAAACGATTGTGCCACCTTGGGAAATTAATTACTTTTATTAATTTTACCTCAACATCGAAAGTGATTAGCAGTTTTTTTTTCTTCTCTCAATATATTTTATGGTCTTTGATGGCTAGAAAAAA